TCAGCGACGAGCCGCTGGCTTCTTCGAAACCCGGCCAGACTTCTTCAGCGCCGCCTTCTTCACCGGCTTCCGCTCAGCCTCCTCCTGCGCAGACATGTCCTGCGCATATAGCTCTCTGAGGGTGCGTCTCCACATCATGGGGGTGACACGGATGTTACCAGGCAGCATGGATTGAACTGTGCAACTTCCCAAGTTCACAGAGAGAGAGCCTGCATGCTCGCCATCGCAAAGCTTGAGGAACTTCGTGAGCATGTCTTCAAAAGTGCAGTCTGGAGCAAAGCGACTGCTCAATACGGCCAGCGTGGTGCCAGTCATGGGTGCACTTGCGGTCACTGTTCCACCATCCCACGAAAACTCCACCAACTTCAGGCCGGCTGGGTCTTTCAGAGGCTTGACAATGATGCATTCTCCAGCCCTGCTGGCATACACAGTCATGTGGGGAACCAACTCCATATTCTCATGCTCCTTTTTGTGGAAAGGAATGACGCCCCCACAGCCACTTGGCATGTACAGCGCACCTCCACAAAGTCGATGACGCCGAGCCTGCCATTGTGGCAGCTCTCTCAAGTTGCCGTGCCTTTCTTCCCAAGTGGCCCAGGCAGCCACAGTGGTACAAGCCAAGACATGTGCCCACGAAATGTCAGTATATCCGAACAAACCTGACATGGGCAGCTCTATATATAAGGGAGTATAGGGGCGCTCCACCGTCTGTCGCCGCTTTCCTTGATGATTTCATATATGAAACAACGCATGAGGGCACCTGATCCTTTCACATCTGACGTGAAAGAAGTGCGCACAGCAAACCTATATAAACATGCCATGTAGGTGTAGATATTTATACTCATGGGCGGGCACACCGCCGTCAAACAAACATCTTCCATGAGCGGACACACCGCTGTCAAAACAGGTGAATGCAAAGTTCTTATATAGTTTTTCATGTTTTTTCCCAGACTCAATGTGACAGTGCCTGTCCTTATACCTCCGCGCTCCAGCGCATCCTAAAGCCAAAGCTCTTGCAAATCGCACAAGCTCAGGCAAAGAGCTTCGTAGACCAAACGGTCCAGGGTCTCGTCCCTCTTCAAGTAGACAACTGGGTGTCCTATAGACTCTGCAAACTTGGCAGCTGCAAAAATCTCACCCTCTCGCACAACCAATGGCCACGGTGGTAGGTCAGCCATCCAGGGGCGCTGCCACAAACAGGCGGTAAATCGACGCAGCTTCGCCTGCTTCGCCTTGCAAAAGCACTTCATCTTCTTAAGCGCAGGGAGCGTCCTTTTCTTCCACAGCCGCTTGACTCTCTCCAATGCTGACAGCTTCATGCTATATATCTTTTTGAGGCTGTAGCGACAAAAAACGTTGGGCCTTACGAAGCTGCGTGTGAAGGAGGACACTGGGCATCTATACATGTGTACATTATGCATGGGCGGGCGCACCGCCATCCAACCAAAATCCATCCATGAGCGGACACACTGCTGTCAAAACATTTGAGAACAACATGAACGACAAATTCAGTCTGTTTACCCACAGAGGCTTCTCTGCAGCGAATCAAAGTCCAAAAAGCATTTGCTTCAAGCGGTACTTGACGCGTTCACATCTTACATCCAGGTCACCGAGTATCTGCTCCAGGTTGAACCTGAAGTGGTCGAACATCCGTCGGCGGTCAGGTGTCAACAAAGACTGATCTTGAAGACTGTCGAAGACATCATCCAGCTGCCATATCAGCATGCTCACGTAGATGTGCGTGCGGTGAGTCTTCTCAAGCTCGCGGAGGTGCGCAGCCATTGCCCTTTCAGCCATACGTATGTTCTGTTCAGGCGCGCCAAACCGTTGACACCAATGCTGCAGAGACATGTTTAACAAATTCAGACTTGCACATGACAATACCTGGATTATACACGCGCGTGAGCGGCCACATCGTTTTTTGTGAATTTCAATCATGAGCGGGTGAACCGCTTGCACTACAACTGTGCTTTCTGACACTCCTTTTCTCTACTGCTTACCTCCATACCACTGGTTGAAGAGGGCCTTATTCGCCCCGCCTCTTTTCTTTTTGTAGCCCCATTTGAGGACAAAAATTTCCCGATTGGATTTTGGTGGCCTCGATTGGGCCTTCGCAACAGCTCCTGGAACTACATCAGCCTCAGTTGAATCAAATTCAAGCGAGTCACCGTCTTGCAACCCACTGGCGCAAGCCTCCGTCGATTCTTCTTGTTCTTCTCCTTCCTCTTCTTCAGCCCAGTCCCTGGCAAGATCTTCCCTGCCCTCATACATGCAGGCACCTTCTGGTGGTTGCAACGGCTTGGAAGCACTGCTGGTGCTGCTGGCTTCTGTCACATCACTGCGTTGAGGATCTGCCTGATTCCATTCACTTTCTTCAACCCAGTCCTTGTCCCCGTTGGAATCTTCATTGATCGGAGCTACAGTGGACCAGGACACTCGACAAAGCGAAGAAACAAGAAGAAGCATGAGCGGGCAATCCGCTATATAAATCTAAACATATATATATATATAGGAAATTAAATACAAAAGGAAAAGTTGAATGTCATGAGCGGACAGACCGCTCAGCATACTAGCCACACACCAAAACCAAAATCTTTTCAGAGCTCTGGCAACTGGCTTGTCACAGTCGGCAAAGACCATGATCCCCTAACCCCTCATCACCGAATGTATGCATTGCATCCATTCAGAAAGCCCTCATGGGTGAAACCCTTTCTTCAACCAGCAGCTGTTGCAGCATCCGGGTACAAAGCGGCAGGTGGAGCAACCTTTCGGCATCATTTTCAAGCGCCTGGCCTTTGTAGGAATGCGTCCCCTACTCTTGCGGCCCTTTTGCCCATGGACGGGCTCCTTCACAGCCTTCACAACCTTTTTCTTGCCGGGCTTCGCAACATCATTGTGCTTCTTTGCCTGCTTCGGAGTCTTCGCAGCTTTGCTTGAGTAGGGCTTGGCATGCTTCGGAGTCTTCGCAACTTTACTTGAGTTGGGCTTGGCACCCTTACCCTTTTTCTCAGCGTCCCTTTTTTCCGCCATCTCCTTCAACTTCTCAGCCGACATCTGAACAGCACCAGTGGGGTGAGTGTCAGTGTCGGTCTTTGCCTTGCAGCTCTGCTTGGCCAGCTCAAGCAGCCTTTGCTCAGCCGGCTCTGCTTCATGAGGTTCAGGCAAGGGGTCAACCACAGGAGCTGCCACTTCAGGACGAGCTGCAGGACAGGATGCTGGAGTTTGAGGTTCACACTGAACAGCTTCAGGTGCAGGAAGTGCTGGAAGGGCCAACTGGCTTGGAGCCCGCGTGGCTTCTGACATACTTTCTCTCGAGCTGCCACTCATCAACTGGTTGGCGTGCGCGACACCCGCTCCCAATCTTCCTCTGCCTTGACCGCCAGTGAGGGTGATAGGAACATCATGCTGCCCATGCTGCTGACCTTGAGACATGTGCAAAAGAGTTTGCAAGAATCGAGAGAGACCGTTTTGCGGGGCATCGAGGGTGTCGACAGTCTGGCAGCTGACCTGCACACATTTGGTAACCCTCAACGGCATGCGTCTGAAGACCATGTGCAACTCACCTTCTTCTAAAGGAGGCTTGGCTGGCTCCACTCCGCCAGGGAAGGCAGCATTGCGAAGTTCCTCAGGGAGATCAGCAAAACAGGCAGGCAATTGTGGCAAGAACGTTGTCGACTTTGGCGCGGATCTCATATACTGCTGCAAAGCTTTCTTGAGCCTCAAGAAGTTCGAGTGCAGCTGAAACTGGTTCTCCCTGGCAGGGCTTGCCCAAAGTAGCAATGTAGCTGACATACCAAAACTTGGTTCCGAGGGCAACTGCAAACCTAGCTTGACCAGGTGGCCGAATAAAGCGTCACACTTTGAGTCCATGGAGTGGGTGGACAGTAGCTTCTGCCAAAGATGCTCGGTCAAAAAGTTCGGCATGCGGGTGTAGTCCTGAAGTGACCGCCTCTTCGTTCTTTGTGAAACAGTCTCCGGGTTTGGGGGAGTGGCTGCGATGCGCTCATACAAGGCGACAAAGAGTTCCTTCTTCTCGTTCTCCACAAAGACGCTGCTCTTTGCGACCATTTCTGCTCCATTCTTGGCGGCTTCCAGCGTCAAAGGGTCCCGGGTTTTCAGGCTTCCCAGGAAATCCTTCAGCAAAGCCTTTCGGTCTTCACTTTCAGAAAAGGTCCTTTCAAATCCTTGCAAGTCTTCCAGCAAGCGAGCCTCCATTTTCCTATAGCTATATTTCCGGCCTGCAACCTCAAATGCCTTGCCGCACATGTTTATATCTAAACACGTCGTTGGGGCGCATGAGCGGGTGAACCGCTGAGGATAAGAAACAGCAGAATAAGAAACGAAAGAACTTGACGCGACATCAAAAACAAATACAAGGGCTGATGAGACAAAGAGTAAACAACACTGTTTCCAACGTGGCATGAGCGGGTGAACCGCTGAAGAGAAATAGAGCGTAAACAACAACGCGGTTTCCAACATGGCATGAGCGGGTGAACCGCTGAAGAGAAAAATAAACAACACTGTTCCCAGCATGGCGAGAGCGGGTGAACCGTTTGGAAATCCGACCAAAGTCACAAAAAAAACATAACAAAAACGTAAAGCGACAAAAACAAAAATAGCTTCAGTAAGTAGTTTGTAAGTAGTTCATAAGTAGTTCGTAAGTACGGCGCCTGCCTACTTATAAGTACTTTAACTTTTTGTAAGTAACTTATATCTCCCAGGTAAGTACACTAACTTCCACTTCTACTTATGAAACTTGAGGTCTACTTGCGGGAACTTATCCTTATGTGTAAGTAGATGTTACGCTGGTTATAACAATACATATAAGTTCCAGAACTAGGCTTGAACCACTAAGTAACTACTCACTTCGTTCGCCAGACACAACTACGCTAGCGCCTTCTACGAAGGCTGGCTTTCGTAATTTATAAAAGCTCATTTAACAAAATAAAATACTCCGTGAGCCCCCTCACCCGGGGTCCAGCGTGCAAAATCCACTGGGCCTGGAAGCGACGGCAAAGTCGCGGCTCGAGGATGAGCTTTGCATTCCGGGCCGCACCCACCTCAGGCGGAGAAGAAATTGGGTGAGCCAGGTGACCTGTGATTTGCATTGCTTTCTCCAGGATTCCAACACTGGCAAATGTTGGCCCACGGCTTGTTGGGGAAGAAGTGTGAGGTTTAGTGAGTGCTTCCCAATATCCAGAAAATGGAGCTAGTTCTCCAACCACAATGTGTCTGGCGCCACACAAAGGAAGGCCCTTCCTTTTCAGAGTTTCCGGGGCGCTGTGACAAAACATGTCAAAACCAATGTGAGTTAAAAGCGACTCAAAGCAGAACACAACCTCACAGAAAAACCAACAAACACGTGCAACCCAGAACAAAATCACGACCAACATGGACCACCGCCAAGGAGGTCCCACAGCACGTGCGACGTCTCATTGGTTCGGGCTTCCGTGCGTCTACAAAGGCTCCAAAGGGAGCAACGTTGGTGACCTGAAAGGGAGCGAGCAACGATGGTCTTGGCTCGGCGGTGAAGCAGCGGTGCAGCGCTCCCAAAAACCAGCGGTCAGTCTTCAGGCCCTAGGGATCCAAGTACCTCCTCAAAAGATCCTTGGATCCCTCCAAACCCACCCCAAACACCTTCTCAGAGGGTACTTGGATCCTTAGGGAGGGTCAGTACCTGTTCTTTTTCTGGTGGACTGACCCTTGCTCGGCCAAAACAGGTGGATCAATTTCAGGGATAGACCCCCTTGTTAGGTAGAGAAAGACTGGGATGCCAGATCAAGTCGGACTGACGGTCTGGATTTAATCCAGTACGTGCCCCCTTGGGTTGATCTCTTTGCACTTCCGGGTGTCCAGACTCTGTGGTGAAGTGTCTCATTGTTGGTCAGAACAAATAGACCGCCAGGCGCCGCCAGGTTCGTACACGATTAAAATCGTGTATTAACACACTGATTCTCACCATTTGTCCACCAATCAATACCAATCCAACGCTCCGGGGTACCCCACAATCCCAGGCATCCGATCACCCTGGCGCACTTTCTCGATCGGCACCTGCAGCTGGAGGCGCTAGGCGTGAATTGGGGGTACCAAACAACAGCACCTCCCCAGAGGGAAATGAACCAAACATATGCCGTCTTTCTCTGAAGCCAAGGGCGATTCGCCTGCGACTGCCGCAGGTTGAACAGCATCCGTGGCACCCCACACCATGTGACACCGTGTGAGTCTGTAGGCCCTACACTCCCTGGTTTTCCACGTGTCAGAGGTGGAGTAAAAAAATCTAAACAGATCTGCAAGGGGCTATTTGATTGGGAGGATGAGGAACTGGACACTTCATTGAGCAACAATCTCTGTCGCTGCCTCAAACGCCTATAAAACGCCTATGCAAAGCTGCGTGGCATTTCAAAGCCGGACGAAAGAAGCTGCCGAAAATCCCCGAATTCAGGGCACCCCTTCGCTGTGCCATCCACCGGCTCCAGAGCCGCCTGGGTCGAAGCGGGAGCCTGTGAACATCATCTCAAGGACTGGATATTCTCTCCAATCGTGATAGTGGAGTGAAAGCAAATACCATTGTGGTCCTCTTCATTTCCCTACACTGATTGCGTGCATACCACAAAGTAATTTAAGAGCCTTTGTGAAGCACCTGCCTTCCTTGACCAGGAGTGAATCACATGGATGCGGTTAAAACATGTTAAAAACCCTGCAGATTCAGGATGTTCATGGATGTTCCACAATGGGTTGTCGATGGTTGTCGACTTTAGGCGTAGACTCAGCTGGTTGTTGCGGTTCTGTTTCGTTGGATTGAACTTTTCACAACCCACAACCCAAAGGAGAGAAAGAGAGAGGGAACGATGCGACGATGGGCAAATCTCTCCGGAACCCGAACCCCCAACTTCGCAGACTTCATCGGCCTCTGTTGCATACGTTCACCCTGCTTGTCAACAAGCTCTCCTGATTCCTGCCTTCTAGTCAAGTCTGCATGAAGTACTGTTCTTTGCAGGGTCAGCCCGAGATCTCAGCATGTGCTCGGCGGGATGCTCGGGAGCCCCGGCCGTTCGAGCCGTTGGGCCTCCGAGAAACCGGCGCACTGCGGCCCACGGGCACGCTGCACCGGGGGGATGGGACATCTGGAGTTGAGCCGTCCAAAATAGAGCCTCTTTATATACAAGCGTGTCAACTGCCTGGAAGCCACAAGACAATACCCTCCCAATTTCCTGAGCCAGTCTCTTTGGGTAAAAACCTCATGTAGGGCTCACCCCCTCCGGCTATGTGCCACACCCCGGCTACTAGTATGTGCCACAGCCACCCTGGTCGCCTCTTGGGGACACCGTGCCACACCACTCGCCACTCGCTGCGCTCGTTCTCAGCTCGTTCGCCCTCGTCGCCTCTGCCTGGACTCCGATCTCGTGCGCGAGATCCGGTCTCCGCGGTGGTCGCCATCGGAGCGCCTGGTGTCGCGCCGTGTCGACACGGCGGATCACGGCGGGGGGTGCCCGGAGATGGCGGGGGGGGTTGTCAGCCTGAAACGCCAGGAACACAAGCAACATGAGTGATTTGCAAAGGATCCATATGGCCATGTGTCTTCTGAGATTTTTGTGGGGGCATTTGGGGTTCATTTGGAGAGTCCAACTACCTGTCGACACGGTATAGTTGAATCCAGCGACTTGCTTTCGAAATTAATCAAAATGTGTTTATCATGGTTTATCTTGAGTTGCCGTACCTTGTTCCAAAGTTTCCAACTGGATACACCAACAGATCCTGACATTAGACGCCGTCTATCAACATGTCCAAAGGGGTGCCAAGAAAAGAACCAAAGAAAACTAAACCGACCCAAAACAATCCCAAGCACACCTTACACATTCTGAACATGCCCTTGGAAATCAAACAACCGGCAAGACTCTGGCAATCGGGGCCCTTCAAAAACCGGGTTGCCGGTGAGGCATGGGACGTAAAAAGATCTGATGTTGCTGGCGCGTCCAACATCCGGTCACCTTGGCAAGTCTCCACTCCCAAAACCACTTCAGATATTCTTATCGTGATCCATCAGGACGGGATGTCGGGACGGTTGACCTACCAGCAACCTACCATGGCGCCTGGGACAATAAGCGAGGCGATGCAAGTGAAGTGTAAATGTATGCAGTGATGTCTTTTTAAAGAGATGGGTTGCAAGTGACTCTGTCGACATTTGCCGACTCTGTCTCTGAAGGCTCACAACTGGTATTGAATCACATAGCTGGGATATGCCTGTTCCATTTGGTAAATCACAAACTCCTGATGCAGCTGGGCTGAGTTGTGATGCCCCTTGATAGCACCGGGATTGACAACAATGGAATCGTAGGTGACCCCGGATGTGCTACTTCTCACGGGCGGCCTCCCTTCATTGTATCGTGTTTCCTTGGCATAGTATGCATCCCCAAGAGCCACACGGGCAATGATCAAAGTCCTTTCACACTTGCAGCCGCAGGCCATCTTGTGATCCTTGCATGTGTATTGATGGGATTTGCATGCAGCAGATGCGAAGTAGACCCCATTGCCGTACATGCCACGGGAACAAGTCCGATGGTCGAAACCATTCAGAACAATCGAGTTTGCATTCTCCCAACTGGTACCGTGCAAGAGAATCTTCTCGTCCACATCTGCTGCCAAGGCCTCGTCGCAATCCAACAATTTCTGGTTATTTGTCATGACTTTGTTCAAGCCACCAAATGCATCCAAATCTAAGGCTGCAGGGGTGACAAACACATTGTGACTTGCATTCTGTTTCCGCAAGGCTTCACATCTTAGCTTGTATCCATGCCAAAGCCTCAAATTTTCAATCCGGTAGACTGACTTGACGGTCGCCGTCCTCATACAAGAACATATTTGGGACTTGTCCTGCCCGTGGCCCGTTAATTGCAGAATCTCGCGAACCTTCTCGTGAATTTGAGAATCTGTCACTTGGATATAGAACTGATTCAATTTGTCAGTTTGCTGCAACAAGCAAGCAGGGGTGGAGACCCACTGATTTGGCGCGCCAGTCACAATGCGAATCCAACGAACTTTGTTTGTGTCGCATCGCTTTTGTATCAAAAGCTGGAAGTCCACCTCGCGGGCTACACCAGGGGCATTGATGGTCGCGAAGCGATTGTAGGGAGATGGATCACGAAGATACACCAAATAAGCTTGAGTCATTTGATCATTCCCCTCAGGTGGCACAGCATGCCAGCATCCATTCTCCTGAAACTGCCAACATGCACCAGAACTACTGGCCATGCTGGAGGTTCGCTTTTGTTCTGCAAGACGCGCAGTCAGCTCCTCAATCCGCTTTTCAGCGGATTTTGCATTCTCTGCCTCAACATCCACCTGCTTCTCAGCTGCTTGCAATTTGCGCTCGAGGTCTTCATAGTTTCCTTGACATCAGAGACTTGTGCACGTGAATACATATGCACGTATATATTATATCTATCTATGTCATATCATATCATCAAATAAAGAGCCTAAAACCAAATAACAGGACCATAAAACAACACCCAAGAAGCAAAGTCTTGAAAGTCATTGCCTAGTCTCTTTCCATGCCTTGCAAAGACATTGAAACATCTCTATACATCCTATCGGAGAATTTCTCGCTTCACCTTTTCCGTTAAGATTGCCTCCTCTGAAAGGCGGACCTTCTCCTGCAATGCCGCGACTTGCTTCTCGGCCGCCAGTCGCATCCTCTGCTCCTTTCGCAGTTCACTGCTCTGATACCTGTGTGGAAATGGTGGGTAAGGAAAAAATCGGAACAGCTCAGTCAGAACGGAACAACATACTACGAGTATATTTCGCTGCAAAAAGTAGCAAATTGTATGCCGTTCAATGTTTCAAAGCTCTGGCCAAATGTTCTGTTGCACCGACTGCCTGGCCTTTTATGGACTTGTGCAGCTGCAACTCTTCGTATCTCCTCTTTCCTGCTTGTGTCGGTCAGCTCGAGCTGCTTGTGTTTTCATGTGTTATCCACAAGTCACGAAGTGCGTGGTGGGATGCACCAACGGAAGAGAACAGAAACACCTTGACTCCATAAGACCTTTTCTTCTGGGGGCTTTTGCGTTCCACATGCCTGCTGATAAGTGGGGTTCTGGCAAGTCTGGAGGGGTTCCTTCTTCAGTTTGATTGTCAGAATTACTTTGAAGTCAAGCGGAGTCCAAAAGCCAGAAAAAAAAAAAACTAAAATGCTTTTGAAAGGGAACAAAAGGATACAAAGCGAAGTAAACAATAATCAAAAGGGAAGCGGAAGGAGAAAGTTCAAAGGGAACTGAAAGAAACTATTTTAGGCTCACTGAGTTGGAGGGGGTTTACCCAAGAACACATTGCACCTGGGCAAATCCACCCACCCATTTTCGAGGGTGCGACCAGCGCATAAACAATGCCCCTCATGTACTTCAGAACAGCGTGGCCCATTCCCTGCGTTCGGTCATGCGGTCACGCCCGTCGCCCACGAGAAACACATGCTCGTCGGTGAATTCCGGAAACCGAATCTGAACGAGCTGCGAGGACGAGCTTGAGCAGCTTGAGCTCCGCGAGTGCGGCTCCGGATGCGTCCGAGGTCTCACCATGAGGATGGGATGGGGTGGGTGGGGTCTGTCTGGGGACAACCAAACAACTGTGTCCCACTCAAAGCTGACCATGACCATTGAAGCATCTCAAACTTCTGGCGCTCTTTTGCAATCAAGAATGCCGAGTGTAAAGCCTCCCCTGGCCTGCTGTTGTCCAGTGCAGCTGCATGCTCTAACGTCAACTTGCCGGAGGTCCTTCGCCGCTTTGAAGAAGAACGGGACCGACTTGAGCTCGGGCTGCTATACCTTAGTGCATGCTTTCCAAAAGTCATACCAATCCTTGACCACACTAAGATCAATACCGGCCTCTGTTCTCGACATGCCTGATAAGGGGGTGCAAGGCAAATGAAACGTTCTTGTCAGGGTCCCTAAAGCCTTCGTGATGCGCTCAGCTGGCCACAGCTGCCCACCAATGCGCCAGATCCTACATTGGGAAGGGAAGGCTGGAAGCTCCCACCAATCAACTCAGATGACCTGAAGTTTCAACGGAGTAGTATATCTATGCATATGACTATAGAGACTACCCCTGAATTCACTCTTGCAGCCAAATACGAGTATCTGCTCGAGCTCCGCGAGTGCTTCTGCAATTCCAGAGGATGCTTCCTCAGATGTCCGACACATTCCGACACTCTCCAAATAACCAAGACACACAAGCAACACACATGGATTTTATAGACAGTTTGGCAGCTTGGTGAGTTGGCAACTTGGTGGGAAGAACTTCTGCCAAACACATCCCATCCAAAGCTTTCAGCACCTCCAACAAGTACGTAACACATACTAACGAGCATGGACACCTGGTATCTCGGGGACTGTCCGGATGCCTCTTCTATCAGTTGCTGACCCTCGTAGCTTGCTTCCCTCAATTTCTGTCACAGTCGGTTGAACTGAGGGGCTTCTGTCCACTTAAGCGTTGACCCACCAGCATAGTCTGCCATACTGCACTGCACGCACATTCTTCAGCTGCATACCAATCTTGAGCCAGTCTCCAGCAGGGAATCCTCGAGCCCTTTCTGGCAAGCCAAGCATGGGGCTGTTATGTCAACCCAAACTGCAGTGTTGTCTTGTTGCGCATAATACCGGTGTCGTAGAGATCTACATTTAGGATGCCAGAGGCCAGAGGTGCAGAAACACGGTGATACCCGAGCTAGCGGAGTTCCAATGTTGCAAATTACACAAAAACAACCAATTTGGGAAAGGGGAACCAATCACAAAGGCACAATGGTTCCAACAAACGAATGACCACACATTCAGAAGTCTACCTGGTCTGAAGTGGCCCGTTCGTGTCTCTTCGGTGTTGTTTGAACCATAATCTTCTTGCTTTCACTGTCAAGCGTGTATAGTCGGTACATTGTAAAGTTTAGTGGACGCGACATGATTCGCAGCAGGTTTTCAACGGCACAATGTTCTTCAAACCACCGCCAATTGATTTCTTAGAGCCTGCGAGTCGTGTGTTGTTCCATCCGGGTCGAGAACCTGGATGGAACAAAGAACCGCGGTAAGGCACGGCCGCCTGGTACAGTATGTCTTGCGCAGGGTCCCTTCGATGACTCCTGTCTGGGTGTCCTGTCTGGAAATCCCCAAGTAGTGTAGGGTAGTCCGTTGGACACCTTTTGAAATTGGATGGTCCTGATGCTGAGTTTTGAACCATGTCCCAAACTCGCCCATCCATGGGGATCATCATTTTGAGTCGGGCCGGGACTTTGGCCGAAAAAGTGATCAATGTCAGCACAAACCGACTCTCCCTCGCACCACCAAGCTCCCGGCTTTGTGGGTGTGCATTAGACTTGGGAGACCGGTCTAGACCCCTGGAGGGTTCGGAATATCGACCGTGGGGCGAGAAAGAGGGGAGTTTCCCTATAACAAGACCGTTTTTTGCACTTCCCCACCCTATAGCAATACAAAACAATACAAACATATAGCAGTCAATTGGCTTGTCTTGTTATAGTTAGCCATAGCCAAAAGCCCAGCCAATATACTCCTTCTCACATACACATTGGTCTAGCCGGTAGCCTACCATAGCCTACCTATACCCAATATGTTCAGTCTTGTTCCGATGCACCCCATCCCAGCCAGCGCTCGCGCTCACATGGTCCCGCTCTTCGCCTCCGGACCGAGAGAGAGGGCGTCGTGATAGTTCTGCCCTGGCGCGAGCTTGAATCAAAACCAAATGCAGGGGCTATTGTATGACGTGGTGCCCAACGAAAGTGGGTTCTGAAATGTGATCATCCTCAACTTTGATGAGCTTTTGACATTTCGGTGGGTCCGTGAAAAAGGCAACTGTTTGACCAAAGGTCTAGCAGGTTCCAAAAAGACCACATCCACATGGGACAGTGCCACTCGACATTGGAAATAAGTGCTCACATTTCAACTTCCAAGTTATACTACTTAACAAGTACATACCCAGGCATTCCTGCCTATTAGCTGTACCATTCACCAGGTTTCTACAACTATCGGCATGCTACTGTCCTCAAAGTCCTTGCGAATCAAGTTCTTTATAGCTATTTTCAGTCTTTTCTCAATGAAGAGGGCTCCCAATGTAGCCATGTTCACCATCGACCCCTCAGTGGACAGGACATAGGGATTCAGACCGACAACCAACTACATACATACATCCGATTCATCCTCTGGCTGCTGACACCATGTTAATTTGGTTGGCCCCACAAGGGGAAGATCATCCCCTGCTCGTTGGCCAACCCAAGCCAGTCATCAAAGGAGAGAGCACCGGCTGGGAGGCTCCATATTCCCAGCGCGGACGCAACACTAGCAGTTCCTCCGAGTTCCTCCTGCATTCACTGCCCAGAACTCAAAAACGATCGATTCTGGTCCTACATAAATAAACCATCAATCCAATGGGAAGACTGACCGCCTATAGACATCTATACACTATAGTACGTCTTTGTAGATATATAACTTGATGAAACGCACATGGGATGATTTCCATCTCGTAGACCAATGTAGTCAACCCGGCAATCCCAACATCCAGGAAAACTGTGCCCAGGTGAAAGTTCCCAACCACTGCTTTTCGATTCGTCTTCCCACCACAATCCAACGGGGGCTCTCCCTATTTTTATACACCCCGGGTATCAAACCACTGCAGGCTTCCCACCTGACGTTCCTTTGGTCTTCGCAAACTCCGCAGACCTGTTTCATCACCTCAGATGGGTCGGAGGACGCGCCAGGTGAACCCGCGGAACCCCCCCGGACAGTTGGTGTTTGACAGATCCAGTGATACATGTGTCGTCAAGAAGGGAAGTGCATCCTTTCAACAAACAAGTACAATATCATATATATATATGTCTTTTTGGAGTCCTACCCTATTCCATCTTCTGGCAAACCTAGTTTTCCAACACATGGAATTGGGGAATTCAATCCTTGACCTGGCACCCATGGAGTTCTTTGGAGCTTTGGGGAAGATCGCATTGAATCCATGTTGGAGCACGACCCCCAAGCCGTGCCCCTGGAAAATACAGATTAACTGGATTTTCCACCTGTTCAACCACTCTAGCTATATCCCGTGATGGCTTGACAACACCCTCTGACCCAATATATGATAATATATGTATGTTGAGCTGTTGATTTTCTACCAGTTCTTCTTTGGTGGGAGCCCCCAAAAAGGTTAAAGGTTATCCACTGAGTGGGTAGGACGACTAGGCCGGACTGGAGCTTGTTAAAGTTCTGGGGCACCCCAACGTGCCATGGCAGTCAGCGATCATCAAATGAAGCTGCAAAATCAAGTGCCCGTTGCGTATATTGAACTTCTGGTATTGTCCAATAGCCCAAAGAAATCCCCTTTTGACGTGTCAAAGTAGGTATTATGGTGGAATATGAGAAGCTACCTCCAGGTCGTCTCCTCCTGCCTCTATTGGGCCCGGTTACCTTCCGAGAGAGTCTTGCTGGCTTGGCTTTGGACGTGTCGGCAGGGGATCCAAAAAATGAGACTCAAGGCTTGAAAAGAAACAGCCGTCCTCAAGACTTGGCGTGAGGAAAGTCGGAGTCCTAGCCACGTGCTGTGCTGGTCAGGGCTGAATACAGCAGTTGGTGCCAAAGTGAAGTGCGGATTGGCAATGCTGTGTGCATATATTTCTGACGAGGGCCTTGGTGGTGCTTAAGTTCCATGTTGCTTTGAGGGATGCAGTTGCACCATTCCAATTCCATATGTCTGCATGGTGATGCAATTCCTGCTCAAGCAAAGTACTTGATGCACGATGTCATGGCGGCCACATGGTATACTGAAACAAAAGCAAGAACCTGGATGAACAATCCGTGAGGCGGCGCCTTCAATCTTGTACCCGGTCAGACTAAATTCCAATGATCAATGAGAGTTGGGGGATCATGATTAGTTCGTGATTCACGATCCCGTCTGCCTTTGTTAGTCTGCAGGCGGTTGTTCTGAATGCGGTAACAATATTTGTGGAAATTGGGGACCTCACGTCTGTCAAACACAATGGATGATCATGGACGGTCATGGCTATATAGTTGGCACCAAATTGAATGGATTGTCATCCATGATTTCGCTGTGGAACTTGATGCTAAATCCATGGATGATCATGGCTAGTGATTCTTCATGACAAACGACGAGACTCTGTGGAAACTCCTCACGACTGCAAGGCCGGTCCTTCGGAACTTATATACACCCAAATATGTTTGAAACATTGGCTTGTTGAGCACAAGAACAAGGGGCCTATGCTTCCCAAGATAGGGAGGGCATCATGATTCATGATATCTCCAAGTATATGGTTCAAGTATGCATCCCATTTCCACTTTGTTGGGCCATTGCTTTGTGACACTTCTGACGCATGGCATCACGCAACTGCCACACATGTAAGGGATTGTTGGAGTGACTTCTTCTCCCAGTAAAGATTTTTGCGAAATGTATGACCCTAGCATCATAAATACAATATATGTGACATCACCCAGTCCCTCCCGAGGGTAAGTATGAAAGTGGCTGCTCTATTTTCAACTAGCACTGGCACAGCCTCGCACGAGGACAAAGCTCCACAGTTGAGGAACAACAAAAACAACTATATACAGGACAATTCTGCACCACTGGAGATTGGGACCACCAGTGTTCTGGTGAGTCCTAGAAGAAACCATGGACGTGAAGCAACCTCCGAGCTCAGGAAAGCGGTCGTAGTTTCACAGTTTCTTGCGAGGAGATTCCAAGGCTGGGTTGTGCAAACCAATTTTGACTCAGTGGAACCGTTGAGTACCAATGGGAGTGCTGCTGCCGAACAAAGCAAGATCAAGCAACAAGATCAAAGCTGCATCCACACATCGAAGTAACATGTCTGTGTTGATGCTGATAGGATATTAGGTGTATAATCTGTTGTTAACCACATTCTGTGTAAAAGACACTTCAATTATTTAGTGTTGTATTGGAATAGCAAAGCAAAACTTCCCAGATCATCCATGTGTGGAATAGGTACATACATTGTTACACATGAAGGGGTCATGTTCATGAGATAAACTCATTATATATATATAACTCATTGAACTATTCCAGTCCAATCGATGGTCTGGGTAAGTAAGGGTTTATTTTCAAGAATCGGCCACCACGGTCGGAACCTCTAAATCGCTGAAAAGGGAGCCAAACACATCGACGTCTTCTCCACTTTGGGGTCCGACTTCGGAGCGGGAATCGTGCCGATCCAAGCGGAGACTCGAATCATGTACGAATCCCAGACCATGGAAATGGAAGAGTCATAAAATAATCAATACATTGAACACCACATGAACAAGACCCATCTAGTCAGGCAAATGAGACCAGTGGACTTGGAACTCTTGCCGACTCTCGCCTCGCCGCATGGTCGTTCATCCGCTTCTTCCGGGGGGAAGACACGGTTCACGAGATCTGACCAGATCCGTCTTGGCCCAAAATCTGAATGCAAACATGGATGGTGCTGTTTGTTGACTTGATGCCGGAACGTTCGTCCGTCTCTATATGTCTCTATGTTTTGGAGAAACCGGATTGGACATCACTCTGTCAATGTCTGGCAAGGCAACCTGCCTGTGAAATCAATCGGCATCCAAACTCTGGCCATCAGCAAGTGAGAGACTCCGCAAGAAATCTGATGGCACGTCAAACATTGTGAGTGAAGAGGGCAGCAAATGGAAGCGGGGTGGAGAAAACCCTGCATACTGGTTGACCTCCAACGTGAAGCTTCTATAGACCAGGTCAAGTACCCGGGTTTCAAATGGTTTCCGGAATTGACCCACACCCATCGAGCGCGTTAAGTTTATGTGGCGATCATCCTTTTCAGTCGAGATGAGTTGCAAGTGATTTTGCTGACAGTCGCCGACATTTGGTGTCTGTCAGAGGCTCACAACCGATACTGAACCACATAACAAGGATATGCCTGCTCCCTGTCGGAAATGACAAACTCCTGATGGAGCTGTGTTGTGTTGTGGTGTCCCTTGATGCGGCCGGGATTGACCACAACGGAATCGTAGGTGACCCCGGATGTGCTATCCCTCACGGGTGGCCTCCGTTCTTTGTATCTGGTTTCCTTGGCATAGTATGCATCACCAAGTGCCACACGGGCAATGATCAACGTCCTTTCACGCTTGCAGCCGCAGGCCATCTTGTGATCCTTGCAAGTGTAGTGGTGGGACTTGCAAGCCGCAGATGCAAAGTAGACCCCATCACCATACATGCCACGGGAACAAGTCCGATGGTCGAAGCCGTTCAGAATGATAGAGTTTGCATTCTCCCAACTTGTGCCATGCAACAGAATCTTCTCATCCACATCCGCTGCCAAGGCCTCGCCGCAATCCAACACTTTCTGGTTGCTTGTCATGACCTTGGTGGAGCCATCAGATGCATCAAGATCTAAGGCTGCACCTGCAACAGAAACATTGTGACTTGCATTCTGCTTCCGCAAGGCTTCGCATCTTTGCTTGTATCCATGCCAAAGCCTGAAGTTTTCAATCCGGTGCACTGATATGACGCCTGCATTTTCGAGCCACGAGCATCCTTGCCACGTGGTCTGCGCATGGCCAGTCAATTGCAGAATGTCTATCACCTGCTCAAGAATTTGATCATCTGTCACTTCAATGTAGAATTGATTTAACTGATCTGTCTGTTGCAACAAGCTAGCAGGGGTGGAGACCCACTGCTTTGGCACGCCGGGCAAAATCCGAATCTGGCGAACTTTGTTAGTGTCACCTCGCTTTTGCTGCATCAGCTCGAAATCAACTTCACGAGCGACCCCTGCTGAATTGATCGTCCTGCAGCGATTGCCCGAGATTGGATCACGAAGGTAGGCCAAATAGGCCTGATGCATCTGATCATTCGCTTCAGGCGGTACAGCGTGCCAGCATTCGTTCTCTTTGTATTGCCAGCGTGCACCACAACTGCTGGCCATGCTTTTTATGCGTTTCTGCTCTGCTAAGCACGCAGTCAGCTCATCAATCTGAATCTGCTTAGCCTGAACTTGCTCTTCAGCTGCTTGGAGCTTCTCTCGTTCGCTGGCCAAAGCACGTTCTAGGCTTTGACAGTCTCCTGATCTGAAATTTGTTTAGGAGCATGAAAACACTGAATGTAAAACTTGCAAGGAGTCAACCACAAACTCCTTAATCTGCCTTAAGCACGACCAAGTCTCTTGCTTTGCTGCTCCTCATTGCCCTCTCGCTCGCAAGTGCTTCTTGCAGTTTGGCAAGCTCCCTCTGCTCGCTGGCCAAAGCACCTTCCCGGTGTTTACATTCTTCTAATCTCAAAACTGCTTTAGGAAAGTTGTATAATGCACTGGACGAACACCCTGTCAAGGTGGATGTCAAACAACTCTTAAAGGGTCAAACAGAAAACCTTTTCCAGCATGACAAAGTCTCCTTCTCTGCTTTCCAAAGATAGCGAAGCATCTCTCAGTTTCCCTTCAGCCGCTTCCCTCATTGTCTTCTCACTTGCAAGTGCCTCTTGCAGTTTGGAAAGCTCCTTGTCGACCATCTGCCCAACCAGCTGCCCGATGGATTGAGAACCCACATCACTGTTGGAAGACCTGTTCGGATTGGCACAAGGAATCATACAAAATATAGCTGTATATACATTTCAAGCGAAAGAACGTGGAGTCCTATGTCACATATTTTCACAACACCCGCAGTTCCCCAGGCCTGCGTTTGACCTCTGAAACTGCGCCCTTTTGTATAGCATCTTTGCCAGTCTGAGCCTCCGAATGCCTTTGCAATTTCCCCAAGGGAGATGAACTGGTACAAACGCAACTGGAAGTGCCCTGTTTCGCTGGAATGAGAACAACAAATCCATCATTGCTAGAGTTGCTAGCGGTGCAGGATGTTTCTTCATCCATTCATGAACACTAGCGAACAACTGCCCGGCATGCCTGGTCTAACTCAGCTAGGACTTGCCACGTCCACCCCCTGAACCTATCCAATCATTCTGTGGCATCGTGTGGTTTCTTAGTGGTGCCCCAAACCTACCCCTCACTCTGCAGCCAGTAGGGCAGTCTCTCTCGGAAAGAAGAACTGACACCAAGACTTTTGATTGTCCAAGCACCTGAATTCCCCACACATCAATTGACAGACTACATTTGCTATCGCATCCTTTTGCTTTTGCCTTTTAAATATCTGTGACTTGATTGCCTGGGCCAAAAGTATGCAAGGTCAACTCCAACTGTAGAATTGAAACTAAAAACCATAACATACCATAACAATCATATAGAAAGAACAACGTAAACACAAAACTCAGAAGGTAAGTTATTATCATTGTTGTTGAGTTAACACCCGCCGTTCCCCATCGTTCTCCCAAACCGTGACACTGCTGCGTTGGGCTCAGTGGTCGCTTCCGCCGTTCTGAGCCCGATGGGACGTCCTCGTCAAACGGGTGGTAGCCTTGTGCTGTGTGAGTTCATCAGGTGTTGGACAAATCTCTGGAGAATTCATCAGTCATATTCAGTCATCAAGTGTTGTTTCAATTTTGTGATGATGCAGTTCATTGCGTCGGCTTCCATTTGCTCCTGATGCGCTTTGATGTGGTCTTCTCTCTTTCTCTCCTCTGCAACCTCGTTTGTCCACCACATCGAAGGCCATGAAAAGTGGATAGAGGAAACTAGTGCTTGCATCCCTTCCCTTTCTCAGCAGTAGATGACTATAACTCGTTATTATAGCCACCGCTGTAAACACACTCCGAATCAGTCTTATCATGTCATATCAAATCAAATCAAAAAACAATGGTTTGACAAACAAACATATAGAGTGATAAATGGGGTAGTAGTAGCTTAACAATCCAACACCTCCTAGCAATGATGGCTGCTGGCCTTGGCTTCGATACAAAAGCTGCTGTCCACCGGGCCATCCCAGGGGAGTCTCCATCCAGTCTTGGGCGGCGTCAAGGTGGACGCGGGATGGAACGCCCAGACCTGTTCACCGCCCACCTGGGAGAGAGGCCGGTCGATACCGGTCGAAGGATGTGGTCGAGGAGTTGAGTGGTTTGATGGATCTCGAGGTACGGGTCAGAAAGACACTTGTTCTTGATGCATGGACTCTGGCCATCTACGCAGCACATGCCCCGAACCTCAAACCATGCACAGAAAAAATGCTCTCAGCTGACATGTGGAATTGACTGATTCGCCTTGGGGCCAAACCACCAGCCACAAAATTTGGGACCATCACGTTCATCCCAGTAGTAGAGCCTCGGTCGTGGGTGGCGCTGCTTCTTCAGTACTTTAATCATCAAGCCAAAGTTCAAAAAACAGGAAACCTTTGTTCAGCTCACAGGACATAGGCAGGGCTTTGTTACAGTGGGAAAGCATAGCAAACCTACAGTAGCAAGTCCGGGTGGCAGCACAGTCACCGTATCTGCATCCTTCTTGTAGATTGGTCGCCCATGGTTCTGCCCATTCACCGAAAATGTCCCCCGCAAGATGCTCTCCACCACCTTGTTCGCGCATTTCACCACTGTGATGTCAGCCGCACTTCCCACTACCTCCTGCGGAGAAAAACGATGAATGAAGAAACCGCATTTCTTCTGACCTTCGTGCATTTTTTCTGCCCTGTGCCAAAACAATACAAACGTCATTTGTTTTCCAATAATGCCGTGTAGTGCCGCTCTGCTGATTTGTATACTGGGTGGACATTTCGACTGGTTTGAAGAATTTTTTGGGGCATGCAGGGATAGTAGGGCTTGCAAAGCCTGGTGTTGCAAGACTAAACATTGAAACAAAATTGAATGATTTGAATGAAGATTGAAAGAAAGATGTCTAAGGGTCACCAACTCAGGGACATCAAGCAACCAGGTCATGACAATTGATGCTGGAACATACCTTGCCAAGACGTTTGGCTGTTGTTTAATACATCAAAGCACGTGAAAGCGTTGACATTTGTCGGCTTCCGCTAGTTAATGTTCATGTGGCAGTTGTCATCCGACTGAAGTGGAAGGGCCTTGCCACTGGAAAACATCAGATGATTGATTACCCTTTGTTTCACAGCGGGTTTGTTTCAGCCTTTTTTCCCCAGTCAAGCTGTCATGTGTGTCCTGTCCCATCCAGCGCTGAACACCTTGTGGTTGTTCAGCGCCGGGCTCATTGTCTGGCGACGCCATTCTACGTGGTGCCAGCCACAATTCGCCAGGTTCAGGCCAGACTGGGACTGGTGCTTGTAGCACCAATCAATGAAACTGCAAAAATGCATGGTTTTCTTTCAAATTTAAGCTAAATTCATTCAAGTTTAGTTCCTCGTATCTTGAGTATATGTGATCTGCCATAGATTCTGCAAGTCGAAGCTTTCGCTCAAGTTCTTCTATTCTAATAGTCGCTCCTTCATCCTCTTGCATCATTTCTTGACGGTGGTGGCGCAGGTCTTGTTTCATTTTGTCATCTGCGAAAATTCCTCCACCGATTCAAAAAAGAGATTCGTGTATCCAGCATGTAGATACAGTAACTGTATTCGTCATGCAAATACTGGTACGAAACTCTGGCTGATCGCAGTTCCTCGATGAGTTGCATTTCTCTCATCTCGACGTCTTTCGCATCTTCGATCTCAACTCTCTCAATACTCCTCTTGGGTGATCTGTCCATGCTCATTCTCGGTGACGTCGATCTTGTAAATCTTTTCAATACTCTTTTCGCATTGCCTGTTCTTGTATCGGATCCAGTAGATGTTGCCTCCGGTGGAGCAACTCTACCTTCACCTGATACTTGTGATCCTGTCGGCATTGTCATTATTGTAGCATCTGCTGAACTCGCACCAGTCAATGATCCTGGCGACGACTGTGATACATTTCCTCCAGGCGCTGCAAAGGAAAACTGTTCTCTGCTCTTCGCTCCGGAACTGGACATTGCAGGTCAAATGTCGACAATCTTTTCTTTCGGTCTCTTCCAAGGTCGTAACCAGAGCGGCTACGGCTGATAACCTGCGTGTGGATATTAACCCTGTAGGTTGGAAGTCTACAAAGCTATCCAGCACACCATTCAGAATCAAAAGGACACGCAACCTTTTTCCTCTGATAGGGCACTTGAGACAAAAGGTATTGGCAGGTTCACAGCGTACTCTAGCTATACATGCTACTATAGTGCGTCTCACTGCACTTCCATTGACACAATAAATGCTGCAGCCTAAAGCCAAATAATTGGACCATACAAACCCAAGAAACAAGGTCTGTAAAGTCATTCCCTAGTCTCTGTCCATGAGTTGCAACGACTGTAAAACATCTCTATGGAGCCTATCAGAGGCTTCTCGCATCGCCCTTTCAGTTAACAGTGCTTCGTCCAAAAGGCGGACCTTCTCCTGCAATGCCGAGACTTGCTTCTTGGCCGCCGGTCGCCTCCTCTGCTCCTTTTGCAGTTCACGGCTCTTATACCTGTGTGGAAATTGAGGGCAAGGAAAAACTCGGAACAGCTCGTTCAGAACAGAACAACATCTATATACACTATATTCCCCTGTATCAAAAGTAGCAAATTGTATGCCTTGTATGCCTTTCAATGTTTCAAGGCTCTGGCCAAATGCGCCACACCTTTTGACACGTCTTGCTGTTCTGTTGCAGCGAAAGAACCGTGTCCCAATCGCAGTGTCCCTGGCCTTTGATGGAAGCTGCTATACCTTAGCTAGTGTTTTCCCAAAGTCATAAAGTGCGTGGGATGCGCCACCGGAAGAGAACACCGACACCTTGACTCCATCAGACCTTTTCTATGGGCGTTTGCGTTCCACATGCCTGCTGATAAGTGGGGTTCTGGCAAGTCTCGAGGGGTTCCTTCTTCGGTTTCATGGCCAGATTACTTTGCGGTCAAACAGGGTCCAAAAGAAAAGAACGCAACATGCAGTTTGCAAGGGAACGCCAAGGACATAAAGAAGCGGAACGAAGAACTGGAAGGGAACTGAAAGGCACTATTTGGCATTACTGATTTGGCGAGGACATATATACCCAAGAGAACACAAGGGAGGTCAAGCTACACGGTGGACCACTTTTTGCCCCTTCCCCTCAGCGTTTTGCCACTGTCACGGGAACAAACAACACAAAACTTGTCAGTGTTCGGGACACCCAACCCGAACGAGCTGCGAGGACGAGCTTGAGGACGAGCTTGAGCTTCGCAAGCGCTCGCGTGAGCGCTTGCGTGAGCGCTGCTTGCAGGAGCGCTTGCGTGAGCGCTTGGGCGAGCGCTTGCGTGAGCGCTTGGGCGAGCGATTGCGCGAAACCATAGGATGCTTCTGATCGCACCAAACAACTCAAAACAACAAGACTAAGAAGTCCCAGACTTGGCCGCCTGTCGCACTTAGAGCTAGCCAGTATAGCATTTCTATAAATGCTGAGAGTAGAGCCTCCCTGGCCTCCTGTCCAATGCAGCTGGCTTCTGCCTACTTAAGTGTTGACCGACCAGCATGGTCTGCCATACTGCACTGCGCGCACATTCTTCAGCTGCGTACAAATCTTGAGCCAATCTGCAACAGGGAAGCCTCCAGCCCTTTCTGGCTAGCCAAAGCCCCGAGCTGCGGCTGTGAAATTAACCCAAACTGCATTGTTGTCTTCTTGATACCGGTGTCGCAGAGATGTACATTTAGGAGGATCAAGGTGGAGAAGCATGGTGACATGGTGATACCGGAGCTATCCTGCAAAGCCAGCGGAGTTCCAACAAGTGAAAGTTGCAAACACTCCCCAATTAAAAACACAACGTCCGAACCCCTACATTCGGTTCATATTTGGTTTTAAAGTACCGCCCTTTCAAACCGCTACTAAACTACCAACATGGTCGATTTTGGGGGTATTTTGTTTTAAATTAGGTTCCCCAAAACTCCACCATGACACGACGCGCTTACACCAGCAAGCTTTCCTTCCCCCAGTGGCACGGACTCACGCAAACGCACTTGCCACCGAGGTCATGCAACACCGCATGGCACAGCGACATCACCTATCGAAAGCTTTGGCTGTTAGTCTACTGAAGAATCACTATTCTAATGAATGTTTTTGTAGGGGAAAAGGAAGACCCTTCGATCTGGAGGTTTTTTGCTTTTTGATACGAGATTAGTAAAGGATTATATATAAAATTTTACTGGATTACTTTTTGGTTTTGAAACCTTTTCCAGGTGACCGTATTTTGGACCCCCCGATTTCAGGGACGGCCCTATTAGAAAAAATGCGACCGAGTTTTTTTTAATAAGGGGGGGCCGTGTTTATTATTAGGTGGACCGGATTACTCTTCTGGCTTTCACTGCCAATCCACGTCAATCCATTCAGCAGTCTATTGGCTTGTCTTGTTATCGTTGGCCAAAGCCAGAAGCCCTAGCCAATATCCGCCGACCCCGTTCTAGTACCGAGAGCGTGAGCGTGAGCGGAACGGGGACGGCGTGCTCCTGAGAATAGTTCGGTATAGGTATAGCTGGGGCTTGTCCACCAACCAGCGCTTTGCGAAAATTGACAATATTTTTGGACAAATTTTGGACATTGGTTATGGTTGAAAAGGAATGGGGGCCGTCAGGCTTTCCCTGGCCAATTGGTTTTGGTCTGTCTCTCCATTCTTTGGGGTCGTAGAGATCAATACTCCATGCTAGAATGCTAGGGAGTCACTAGTCAATCCACTCTGCTAAGAAACTAGCAAAATGGTGGAGTCCGATTGTGTGCCTGCACCAAGACGTCTCCATAGTTCATCATTGTCCATCAACCCAATGAATTTGTATCTCCAGCTAGACATTTGTCACTGGTTAGACTTCTGCAAGGAATAACAAAAAACAGGTTTTAACTATTCACAAGGTCTTGGGATGTCTGCAAGACAAACCCACATGCAAATTGCAGCCTCAACCTACATATCCCATTGTATCTCCTCCTGCAATTTTTCAGGTCCAATTCCATTCTCCTGGCTGCTTGGCTTCCCGGCTGCTGTGGTTCCGAAAAACATAACAAAACATCGGTTCGCGGCCAAAACACTTGCAAATGATACGAACGACCAGTGTTAATGGGTCTTATATCTAGAACTTGTTCCGCCGATCTATGATGATCTATCTGTCAAACCATTGCAGCAGGGAGATCGCAATAGATTAGATGTTTTTAAAGGCTCTGAGGTTCCAGGCATCCCCTGCACACCTCTAACATTCTTAGGTTGTTCCCAAAATTGTTTAATTGTTTCTAAAATTGTTTCTAAGATTGTTTTGATTGTTTGTAAAGTTGTTTTAATTGTTTGTAAAATTGTTCTAAAATTGTTTAATTGTTTCTAAAATTGTTTCTAAAGTTATTTTAATTGTTTGTAACATTGTTCGAACATTGTTTAATTGTTTCTAAAATTGTTTCTAAAATTGTTTAATTGTTTCTAAAATTGTTCTCAAGTTATTTAATTGTTTCTAAAAGTGTTTCTAAACTTGCTTAAGTGTTTCACAAACTGTTTCTAAAATTGTTTGATTGTTTCAAGCATCGTTTGTAGCATTGGAAAGATCGTCAAATTGCCTCTTAAATTGTGAAATCAGTTGGATCATTTGGATATATAGCGGTTTGTAAGTTTGAAATACTTGTCGTTATTGTTTGAACATGTGGAGAAAGCGTGCTTTGCAAACATGACCGAATCAGCGAACGGCGCCAATCAGCGAACGCACTTTTTTCATTCAAACTGGCGGCCAGCAAGTCATCAAGCAAAACCTTAGCCTTAGCCCATCTCCCTACCTGGCCAGTGGCCTTGGCTGCCGTTTCTTCAACAAAGCCAGTGCAGCCATGGAATCTCCACTACCTGGCCAGTGGCCTTGGCTTCAACAAAGCCACTGCAGCCAAGGCAGTTGCCACATCTTCTGAGCCGGGATCACTTGCATCGTCTCGTCGAGGAATCCATGGGAGGGACGCGACCCCAGCTTGGAACATGGCCATAGCCACTGGGAGCGCCATGGCGTTGCCGGCAAGGTCTTGGAGGAAAGAATGAGAAGAGCAAGCAGCAGGCAGGCTGCATTTATCTTGAAGGTCTTGGAGGAGCAAAATGGGAAAGCCTTGAAACATCAGAGCTTCCTCACCTACCATGAGCCGCTGGCGCGACTCCATCCACAGCTGCTGCCCTCGCAGCATGGTCGGCGCCAGCTGTTTGGGGCTACATTCTCTTTGCCAGCTGACAAAGCCTCCACGTCCAAAGCCTTGACAGCTCTCAGGTTCAGGAGAATATGGCTTTCAATCTCTGCCAAGACAAACTCACCAAGTTGCTCTGACCCTATGGCAGCTTGCAAGCTCTTCATAGAAGGTTTGCTCAGCAGGACTGCTCATAAAACTTGTCATACTCACTGTAGAGGCAATTCTGAGCAGCTTTGGCCAAAGCTAGCCTCAAAGTATAGCAGGTTCCCAAAGATTCAACGCCCAACAGTTCCAGGTGCTTGCTGCTCTCCTCAACAGACGTGACCACAGACTCTGGAGAAGAAGTTGGGCTTGATACTGCTGTGAACAGGTTCTGGAAAGCCAAAGCTGCTGCTTGTAGGGAGTCGAGGTCTTTGAGTTCATTGTCGAACAAGTCCCTGTTGGAGCTTTTGTCCATTCGCTTGCTGTGTTCCCTGGCCTGTCTGCCAATGGACTTGACTTCAGCAATTCGATCGGCACAGCTCTGCTTGAAGGTAGCTTGGGAGTGGGCGTCAGGCTCTGGCACTGCGTCATCGACCTTCACCTTTGCCAACTTGGACTTCAGTTCAACAACTTTGTCCTGCAGGTTGCGCAAGGCTGTTTGGGCTCGCCCATCTGCAAGCAGTGTGTTTCCACTGTCCTGGCTGCCCTGCTTCCCAAAGCCTGTTGATGATGACGACGCCTTCCCTTTGGCATCACGACCTCTTGGGCCAGGCTGTTGCGATCCTGGCCTGTGGCCGCTGTTGAAGGCCTGCTGGTTGAGGGCTTGCTGCTGGCTGTGGCTGGATTGCTGGCTTGCTGCTCGCCGCGTCTACCTGGCTTCTTCTTTGCGTCAAGGTTTGCTGGAGCCTGATGTTGTTTTGGTTTGCTGGGGCCAAAAAAGGAAGCAGACAATCCATTTTTTTCTGATCCACTGCTGCTTTTAGTACCTTCTGAGCTTGAGTCATCCTGACTGTCTTCGACTGCTGCCTGGTGAGCGGCCGCAAGGTTTGATTTGGGCGAACTCGGCTGGTAGCCTCCCTGGCGCAAGGCGTCGAGGACTCCTTCCAGGCTGAGCTCAGAGCCTTTGCTTTCCACTGCCATTTTGTCTCGCTGCAGGGACCCTTGATTGATCTGCTGCAATGCTGCTTTCCTCTTCCTAGCAAGGCCTTCGTCTAAGCCTGTGCGACTGTCGTGAACCAACTCAGACTCCTGCAGGGCTGAGTCCTGGTACTCTTCGTAGTCATACACACCCTTCTTGCCAGCATGAATCCAAATTCCTTTCACATCTCTACCCCAGAGGTGCTCTATCACTTCCTTGGTGGAGTCGTAGTCCCCATACTGTTGGGAGTCCCATGCCTCCTGAGTAACAAACTGTTTCTTGGGGGCGATAAATTTGCCACCTGTGCTTGTGGTCATCTGCTTTTGCTTCAAGGCTTCCTGGAGCTCCTTCTTGCTCTGAAGGCGTTTGCGAGTGGGCCCGCCTTCATTGTGCTGTCGGACCCAGGCTTTGCGGGAGGCTAGAAACCCTCTATGATCATTCTGGTTTGCCTTCTTCGACACGTGCTTGTAGTGGTCATCCACGCTCTTATGCTCCTTGTGAAGGCCTTAGGACTGGGGGCCTGCTGCCTTTTTGGTTTGCTTGCCTTAGGACTGGGGGGCCTACTCAAATAGGCACAGGTTGCTTTCAAAAACGGTGGGGGCTTTAAGCAACCTTAGCCAGGATACCCAGGGCCCGATATACGTTAAAACATATCAGGCACAGCCTGCCACTTGGAACGCGGACAGTCTCCCCAGAGTCTTCCTCTTTCGCTTTCTCGTAGCTGCGCCAAGGCAGGCGTCCTTCCACCTCAGGGAAGATCTCATCAATGGGGTACTCTAAGGGGGACTCGTCAGTGGAGCGGCCATTGCACAACTGGCAGCAACGTGGCTTCCGCAAGGTCAAGCTAATGCGGGCAAGGCCACCTGCCGAGGAAGCTGCTGTTGAGGCTCGCCCACTCCTGGCCTGACCTTGGCAACCCGGCCTGTGGCCGAGGACTGTCTACACAGGCGTCTTCAGCAGCTGGCTGTTCACTCTCGGCACTTTCAGAACTCTCTGAAGTGCTCGCCATGGCTGGCCAAGGGCCAAGGCTTGTCAA